AGCATAAGAAGCCAATGTCACAAAGTCACCCCCTTGCCCGGCATCTGACAGCAGGCTTGACTAAACTCTTAGCCCGCCAGCTTTTACCATACAAGCTGGTGGAGTCTGAGGTGTTCAAAAAATTTGTAGCTATTAGGACACCGCAGTGGAAGGTACCCGGCCAAAATTTATTTGCACAAAAGGCAATCCCCAACCTGTACTCGATTGTGCAAAAGGAAGTAATGGCATGTCTGGCACACAGTGTTGGAGCAAGGGTCCATCTGACCACTGATACCTGGTCTGCAAAGCATGGTCAGGGCAGGTTTATCACCTACACTGCACATTGGGTAAACCTGCTGACGGCTGCCAAGCATGGAATGCGTGGCTCTGCAGAGGAGTTGGTGACACCACCACGACTTGCAGGCAGGCCTGCTGCCACCTCCTCTACTCCTCCTACTCCATACTCTTCCATAACCTTCTTGGCTGAGCCCTCTTCTGCTGCTGCGTCTTGCTCCACATCAACGGCACCCCACCAGCTCCCCAGGTACTATTCCACATCCCGGATATGGCAGTGTCATGCCGTCTTGGGGTTGACTTGCCTGAAAGCAGATAGTCACACAGGACCAGCACTCCTGTCCGCCCTGAATGCACAAGTGGATCAGTGGCTGACTCTGCACCAACTGGAGATTGTTAAAATGGTTTGTGACAACGGAAGAAATTTGTTGGCTGCATTGCATTTGGGCAAGTTGACACATGTGCCGTGCATGGCACATGTGTGTAATCTGATCGTACAACGCTTTGTGCATAAGTGCCCAGGCTTACAGGACATCCTGAAGCAGGCCAGGAAGGTGTGTGGCCATTTCAGGCATTCCTACACGGCCATGGCGCACTTTTCAGATATCCAGTGGCGAAAAAACATGCCAGTGAGGCGCTTGATTTGCGTCAGCCCGACACGTTGGAATTCAACACTCCTAATGTTCGACCGCCTGCTCCAACAAGAAAAAGCTGTTAACAAGTATTTGTATGACTGGGGTGCAATGCCTGTAGGCTCATGCGTCCTTTTGAGGAGGTGACAAACCTAGTCAGTCGCACCGAAGGCACCATCAGCGACATCATACCATTTGTTTACTTACTGGAGCGTGCCCTGCGAAGAGTGCTGGATCAGGCCATAGATGAGCGTGAAGAGGAAGAGTTGTGGTCACCATCACCACCAGAAACAGCCTTATCAGCATCGCTTGCTGGACCTGCGACAACGCTGGAAGAGGATTGTGAGGAAGAGGAGTCAGAGGAGGAATGTGGCTTTGAGGAGGAGGAGGAAGACCAACCACAACAGGCATCCCAGTGTGCTCGTTGTCACCTATCTGGTACCCGTGGTGTTGTACGTGGCTGGGGGGAAAAACATACGTTCAGTGAGATCACTGAGGACGAGGAACAGGACATGAGTAGCTCGGCATCCAACCTTGTGCAAATGGGGTCTTTCATGCTGTCATGCCTGTTGAGGGACCCTCGTATAAAAAGGCTGAAGGAGAACAACCTGTACTGGGTGTCCACGCTACTAGACCCCCGGTATAAGCAGAAAGTGCCTGAAATGTTACCGAATTACGGCAAGTCGGAAAGGATGCAGCAGTTCCAAAATCAATTAAAAAGTATGCTTTACACAGCGTATAAGGGTGATGTCACAGCACAACGGCACTCTAACAGGAGAAGAGGTGAAAGTAATCCTCCTCCTCCCCCGACCACGCCCTCAAGGACAGGACGCTTTATAGACGTGTTGTTGATGGAGGACAGGTGGAGCTTTTTAAGTCCTACACATCGCCACAGCCCTTCGGGGTCCACCCTCATAGAACAACTCGACCGACAGGTAGCAGCCTTAACTGCAGATATCGACACTCTGAGGAGCGATGAACCCCTTGACTACTGGGTGTGCAGGCTTGACCTGTGGCCTGAGCTATCCCAATTTGCGATAGAACTTCTGGCCTGCCCTGCTTCAAGTGTCCTGACAGAAAGGACCTTCATTGCAGCAGGAGGTATTGTCACTGAGAAGAGAAGTCGCCTAGGTCAAAAAAGTTTAGATTACCTCACCTTTATTAAGATGAATGAGGGATGGATCCCAAAGGGACTGACAGTGGGCGATACATTCGACTAAAAAAGGCCTGATGAGGGGGATGTAACAGGGCGTTGAGGCTGTCGGCCCGCCGCGTGATATTTAAATCCCTAGCTCACCCCAGTACCTTGCCCTGTCTTGGTTTCCTGTTCCTGGTTTCCTGAGAGTGCTTTATCATTGTGAATCTGATTTCCTGGTATCCTGATCTTGGCTTTTCCCTGGTTATTCTGAATTCTGGTTTCCCTGACTTGGCTTGTGTAAACGGTATTTTGTATTTTCTGGCTTCCTTGACCTCGGCTTTCTCTTTGACCATTCTCTGTCTCTAGCGTATTAGTCCGGCCATTCTAAGGTCCGGTTTACGCTCTGTCCTTTTATTTTCCTTTTCTTGCCTATGTATATGTTTACATAGTTTCTGCGTGCTGGACCACACTAGTAGTCATGGGATTAAACTGATAAGAAAAGTACTACTTAACACACCACTCCTATCTTGTGGCACATTAGATTGCACGCGCAGTGCCCTAAATTTGAAGGAGGACCGACCAAGCATCTTTTTCCATCTCCCGGTTCCTAAAATCGATGCCATATACACGTCCCCTGATAGGGGGCGTAACAGGGATTAAACTGATAGAAATAGTACTACTTAACACACCTTATAATAACGCAGAGAGAGGCAATGCAGAGAGAGGAGTCTGAAGAGGAGGAGTCAGAGGAGGAAGGTGGCTTTGAGGAGGTGGAAGACCAAACACAGCAGGCGTCCCAGGGGGCTTGTTGTCACCTTTTGGGGACCCTTGGTGTTGTATGTGGCTGGGTAGAGGAAGAGACCTTCAATGACATCAGTGAGGACAAGGAACGGGACATGGCTAGCTCGGTATCCAACCTTATGCAAATGGGGAGTTTGCGGTTGTGCAAATGGACTGTTTGTGGTTGTTTACGGTGCGTTAAATGGGGAGTTTGGTCTGTCACTGTGAAGCGGGTGTAACCCTTACACTACCTGATCGATACAACATCATACCTGATGTTTTAAAGCACGTTATTCCAAACAATTTAGGAATGTTAGGTGATTTATGCCCTTTAAGGATTAAAACCAGACTCTGCATCAACTATGTCATTTTCCATGGGAGTTTTGCCATGGATCCCCCTCCGGCATGCCACAGTCCAGGTGTTAGTCCCCTTAAAACAACTTTTCCATCACTATTGTGGCCAGAAAGAGTCCCTGTGGGTTTTAAAATTCGCCTGCCTATTGAAGTTTATGGCGGTTCACCTGGTTCGCCTGTTCGCGAAAGTTTGCGGAAGTTCGCGTTCGCCGTTCACGAACCGAAAATTTTATGTTCGCGACATCACTAGTCAGCAGATATAAGCCATTTCTCTTAATATCCGGCTATATTAAACAAATATGATCAAAAGTAAAGTTTTGAATTAACTAATAAAAACATACCTGATAAACACTAATATTTACTGATGGACAAATTAAACAAATCATAGGTATTGAAAACATTATATTTTAATCCTAAAGAAATCGATAGTTATTGTGGAATTCATAATCTCTATAAACAAACAGAAAGATACGAAATCAAAAAGCAAATTATTACAAATTGGTTATTGTATCAAGATACTTACATGCTTCACAAGCCAGTGATACGCCACTTTGAACGAAACAGAATATGCGTCTCTAATATTGATGAACAGTGGCAGGCTGATTTAGTCTCAATGACTGAATTTTCAAAATACAATAGTGGATTTAAATACATTCTTACCGTCAGACATTTTTTCAAAATACGCTTGGGTAGAGCTTTTAATTTATAAAACCGGTCAAAGTATTGCTAAAGCTGTTGAATCAATATTTTAAAATGGTCGTGTACCTCAAAGATGCAAACAGACAGAGGAAAATAATTTTTGAATAAGAGTGTAAAGCCACATTTACAAAATACAGAATACACCACTTCTTAACCAACATTGGTGTCAAAGCAGCTGTGATTGAACGATTTAATTGTACAATAAAAACTAGAATGTGGAGGTATTTTACAGCGCGCAATACCTTTACATCTGAGGATATTCTGGATGATTTAATATTTAGTTACAACAACACACCACACCGATTAATAGGCTGTCCTCTGGCGGCTGTGACGCACTCCAATATACTTACAGTCTGGAAGAGACTGTACATCAATTACTTCAAACATAATCAGAATAAACCAACATTCAGCATTGGAGATCATGTGTGGATTTCGAAATATAAAGGTCCCTTTGTGAAAGGCTATGAACAGACATTTACAGATGAAATATTTGTAGTTGCTGGTGTGAATACCAAAGGTAGGAAACCTGTATTTCAGTTAAAGACTGTAACGGCGATATGATTGAAGGGGCTTTCTACGCATGTGTCTAAATACTAGGGATCGACCGATTATCGGTCTGGCCGATATTATCGGCCGATATTTGGTATTTTCGGCAATATCGGTATCGGCCAATTCAGATACCGATATTGCCGATAATATATAACAGGACCGCCGGGCCCATTACAAGCCCGGCGGTCCTGTGGGGGCCAGCCGCAAGCGCTGACTTACCTTGCATGCAGCTCCCTGTGTAAATCTTGCGAGACCCGCGGCCGCAGAGCGTTGCCACGGGTTACCATGGCAACGCTCCGCGCGGCACTAAGAGCCGCGAGATTTACACAGGGAGCTGTAGGAGCTGCTTGCAAGGTAAGTCAGCGCTTGCTGCTGCTGAGCCACCACTGTACTTAACAAGCCACTGGACCACCAGGGGATACTATATCCCCCTCCCTGGTAAAAAGCAGGGAGGGGGGACTAAACAAAAAATAAAAACATTTTTAAATATTAAAAAAAATATTAAAATAAAAAATTACACAAATTACATCACTACACAAACACACACACACTACACAAACACACACTGCACACATACTGCATTACATACACACACACTGCATTACATACACACTACACAGGCACAGACACTGCATTACATACACACACTACACAGACAGACACTACACACACACCACAAACACATACTGCATTACAGACACACACTACACTGCACACACACTGCATTACATACACACACTGCATTACATACACACTACACAAACACAGTACACATACTGCATTACATACACACACACTGCATTACATACACACTACACATACACACACACTGCATTACATACACACTACACAAACACACACTGCATTACATACATACACACTACACAAACACACACACTGCATTACATACACACACAAAAACACACTGCATTATACACACACTACATAAACACACTGCATTATATACACACTACACACACTGCATTATATACACACTACATTCATTATACACACACTACACAAACACACACCCTGCATCCACTACACACACACACACACACTACACAAACACACACAGTTCCCCTGTCTAAACACACTTCATCCACTACATGTGGCATGTATATTTTGTGCATTTACCTTTCGAATTAGTTTATTTATTCAAAATAGTAAATGTACAGAATATCGGCAAGATATCGGCTATCGGCCTGAAAGTTCGCAGATTATCGGTATCGGTATCGGCTCTAAAAAATCAATATCGGTCGATCCCTACTAAATACCCAAAGATCACAACAGGGTGTATAGAATTAAAAAAATACTTAAACAAAAAACTCAAAAGGAAAAAAGATTTTATTACGTCCAGTGGGTGGGACACCCAGAATCATTCAATAGTTGGATTGAAGAAAAACAGCTAACCACCCTCTAAAATACAATATGGAGGATGCACCATTTTATGTCACTCTGCCAAGTGTCATATTTAACATACCCCCAAAATGAAATGTCAATTTACACCACCAAACTGTCCAAACCAATTGTACTGCAGACCCCACGAACCGCCACAGCTTGATTGGGGTCTTTCCATCTCCTACCCACCCTGGACGTACGACAAGGCTCCAGGTTCCAGTGGGTAAACCTCTCTTCTTTCAGAGAGCGTAGCAGGAACAGCTCTTACAAGAGCTGGTGATTATCCAAGGTATGATAATCATAGCAATCCCTTGTAGTGATAGAGCAATTCCCCCCAATAAGAGGGTGAAGTAGAACTGAAGGTTTAATTGTACAGGTTGGCTTTATATACAACCCCCTGGACCTGATGGAGCACCGCATTACAAATGACAGACTATTGGTATTTTATTGGTGCAGACCAATAAAAACAATGTAACAATGAACGACACTCCCACATACAGTAAACAATCCCTCCCCACTGCCTGTGATATAATTAAGGTAGTTAATGCATTAACTTAATTATCCCCAGGCAGAAAAAAAACACATTTTTATAAAGTACCATAAGTACCCCAAAACACAACATATCTTCATAAATGTTACATCCTGATAGCTCTGATCTGGGTGAACAACATATCCGAAAATCACCCAGATCAGTTCAGGAGTTCAGAAATTTTATGGAAGTCATATTTTTGCCCAGGTGAACCCATGATTTCATGCCCAAAACATTTCCATAGATTCATGGCTAAGTACCGCCGCAGGGCCGACCGGGAACCGCAAGGTTTTCATGCAGAAAATAGTTCCAGGGCATTCGCGGCTAAGTCCCCCTGAAGTCTATTCGTGGTTTTAATCCATGAGAACAAGATGGCCGCGTGTTCGAATATCGAATGGCGGCCACTTCGACTGTTCGGGAGTTCGAAGAACCATTGTCTAAAGTCTCAATAGCCACAAATAGGGTCTCTCAGCCAAAACAAATTAAAGGGGCCATAGTCACAGGACAAAAGGTTGGCAAGTAGTCCTCTCCAAAAACCAGAGCATCAGCATTTGAGTGATAATTATGTGCCACTACTACGTTCCGTTGAAATTACAGGTAATAACAATGAGATTATTACTCAGAAGTACATCAAACCTGATTACTTACCAGTCAACCAAAATAGAAACTTCTCATTAGTGATGTCGCGAACCTGAAATTTTCGTTTCGCGAACCAGCGAACCGGGCGAACTGCCATAGACTTCAATGGGCAGGCAAATTTTAAAACACACAGGGGTACTGGCAAATTCCATTAGCCGAGGACGCCATCCACAAGTCGGCATTTGTCACCTCGTTTGACCTGTATCAGTTTAACCCCTTAAAGACACAACTTCTGAAATAAAAGGGAATCGTGACGGAATATTTCCGTCATGTGTCCTTAAGGGGTTAAGGTCATGCCATTCGGGATGAAGAATGCCCCGGCTAACTTTCAGAGGATGGTAGATCGGCTACTGGATGGGTTTCAGGAGTATGCCTGCGCCTACTTGGATGATATAGCCATTTTTAGCTCCTCCTGGCCCGAACACCTGACCCACATAGGAGCCGTACTAGACCGGATTAGGGAGGCCGGACTGACCCTAAAGCCCAGTAAGTGCCATATAGGAACGCGTAAAAACCTCCCCAAGATAGTAGTATGGGCCCCAGAGTGTGAACAGGCCTTCCAACAGCTCAAGACGGCGCTCATTAAATCACCTGTACTTTCTGCTCCTGATCCAACTAAACGCTTTCTCGTCCATACAGACGCTTCTATGTTTGGATTGGGAGCAGTACTGAGCCAAGTCGGAGCAGATGGCGGCGAGCAACCTGGGGCTTATCTAAGCCGGAAACTTTTGCCCAGGGAAAGGAGTGCCTGGCAGTGGTGTGGGCCCTCAAAAAGCTGCAACCTTACTTGTATGGACAACCGTTTACCTTACTCACAGATCACAACAAATTTGGGGCACTGCGCGTGCAATCTAATGTGCCACCAGATAGGAGTGGTGTGTTAATTATTATTATTATTATTATTATTATTGCCATTTATATAGCGCCAACAGATTCCGTAGCACTTTACAATATTATGAAAGGGGATTTAACTATAAATAGGACAATTACAAATAAACTTACAGGAACAATAGGTTGAAGAGGACCCTGCTCAATCGAGCTTACATTCTATAGGAAGTGGGGTGTAAAACACATTAGGACAGGAATGTGCAATCAAATAAGGTGGGCTGCCCTTTAGGAGAGGGCAAGAGACGGGTATGTGAGGTAGGGGTTAGTCTTGGAGGCCATAAGCTTTCCTAAAGAGATGGGTTTTAAGGCACTTCTTAAAAGATGCAAGACTAGGGGAGAGTCGGATGGCGGTAGGCAGGCTATTCCATAGGAAGGGAGCCGCCCGCGAGAAGTCCTGCAAGCGCGAGTTGGCCGTACGGGTGCGGACAACGGACAGGAGGTGGTCACGGGCAGAGCGGAGAGACCGAGAAGGGACATACCTGTGGATCAGTGAGGAGATATAAGAGGGGCTAGAGTTGTTCAGTGCTTTATAGGTGTGAGTTAGTGCCTTGAATTGACTCCTATAGCACACAGGAAGCCAATGTAAGGACTGGCAGAGGGGTGAGGTGTGAGAGAACCGACTAGAGAGGAAAATCAGTCTAGCAGCAGCATTCATTACAGACTGTAGGGGTGCAGTACGGCTTTTGGGCAGACCAAGCAGGAGAGGGTTACAATAATCCATGCGTGAAATTATTAGAGCATGGACAAGCTCCTTGGTAGTATCTGGTGCAAGAAAGGGGCGGATGCAGGCTATGTTTTTAAGATGGAATCTACAGGATTTGGCAACATGCTGGATGTGAGGCTCAAAGGTGAGACCAGAGTCAAGTATGATGCCAAAACAGCGCGCTTGCAAGGATGGGCTGATGTTGGTACCACAAACTTGAAGGGAGAGCAAGAGAGGAGGATCAGTATTAGGAGGAGGAAAGACAAGGAGCTCAGTTTTTGAGAGATTGAGTTTCAGAAAGCGGGAGGACATCCAGTCAGAGATGGAAGAAAGGCAAGCAGTGACACGTTGCAGGACAGCAGGAGAGAGGTCCGGGGAGGAGAGATATAGCTGGGTGTCATCAGCGTACAGGTGGTAGTGGAAACCAAATGAGGTAATAAGTTTGCCAAGAGAGGCAGTGTAAAGAGAAAATAGAAGGGGACCAAGGACGGAGCCTTGGGGACTCCAACCGAGACAGGGCGAGGGGAGGAGGTATCATTAGAAAAAGAGACACTGAATGAGCGTTGGGAGAGATAAGAGGAAAACCACGAGAGGACAGAGTCACAGAGACCAAGCGATTGCAGAGTTTGAAGAAGGAGAGCATGCTCAACGGTGTCAAAGGCCGCCGAGAGGTCAAGAAGAATTAGTATGGAGTAGTGGCCTTTGGATTTAGCTGCGATTAGGTCGTTAGTAACTTTGATAAGGGCAGTCTCTGTAGAGTGGAGAGGGCGGAAGCCAGATTGAAGGGGGTCAAGGAGAGAGTTGGAATTGAGGAAATGAGACACACGGGTAAAGACGAGTCTTTCCAGAAGCTTTGAGGAAAAAGGGAGCAGGGATATGGGACGGTAGTTAGAGGGGGTGGATGGGTCAAGGGATGTTTTTTTTAGTATAGGTACTACAGTGGCATGTTTAAGGTCAGCAGGGACGATGCCAGAAGAGAGCGAGCAGTTGAAGATGTGTGTTAGAGAAGGCACGAGACAAGTGGAGAGAGATCTGATAAGGTGAGATGGGACAGGATCGAGCGGGCAAGTGGTGGGGCGAGAGGAGCAAAGAAGAGCAGCCACCTCTTGGTCAGTGGCTGGGGAGAATGTCTGAAGGGTAGGAAAGGCATGATCAATGTGTGATTGAGAAACAGAAAGGCAAGGAGGGGAGAATTCTTTCCTTAGCTGTTCAATTTTGTCAGTGAAGTAACATGCAAAGTTATCAGCAGTAAGGTTGGTTTGGGGGGTGGCCACCGCGGGGCGAAGAAGAGAATTAAAAGTGTCAAAGAGACGCCTGTGGTTGGGGGAACATGAACTAACGAGAGAGGAAAAATAGGACTGTTTGGCAAGGGCAAGGGCTGCACTGTATGAGCACAGTATGAATCTATAATGGAGAAAGTCTGACTGGGTGCGAGACTTCCTCCAGGAGCGTTCAGCACAACGGGAGCATCTTTGCAGGTAGCGCGTTGATTTAGTATGCCATGGTTGGGGGCGGGTCCTCCTTGAGGTGCTTGCTTGGAGTGGCGCTGCAGTGTTCAAGGCAGATGTAAGAGTTATATATGGAGATGGCCAGTGAAGGACAGGATAGGGAAGGGATGGACAGCAGTTGTGGATCAATGTCAGCTGACAACTGTTGGAGATCAAGAGAATTAAGGTCCCTCCTGAGTTGAGGCTGGTTAGGTGGAGGTTGTTGGGTGAGGGGGTACGTGAGAGCAAACGATAAGAGGTGGTGATCAGAGAGAGGATAGGGAGTGTTGCAGATATTAGATACCGTACATGCATAAGTGAAGATTAGGTCGAGGGTATTGCCAGCAACATGGGTGGGTGAATTTGCCCACTGTGATAGCCCGAGGGAGGAAGTAATTGAAAGTAGTTTATTGGCTGCAGAGGTCAAAGGTGGGTTTATAGGAATATTGAAGTCCCCGAGAATTAGGGAT